TGGCATTCCTCCTAATGCCTGGCCTCCAGCAAGTTCGCAAAATCTTGGTCCACATTCTAATGTTGGCATGCTTGGTTTTGGAAATCAGTTGCCTGCTAAGTCTGGCGATGTTGTGTCTTCTACTCCAGTAAGAGCATTAATCACTTATCTGATGGGTTTCCTAATTAGAAACTTCTCTGATTTCAACATTGACCTTGCCTGAACATTTAACATTTACAGTGTACAATTTTTGTGTACTGAATGATTCTAAAGTTTTGGGTTATTTTTTAAAGATTTTCTTGGGACTATTTTTTTGTTCCCATTATTTGCATATAATCTGGCTCTATGAACCATATTTAAGGGGTTATGGTTTTCTTTAGAAGTTTCGACTTAAAATAGTAATTGTGAATTTTGCATACATGGAATCACATATTTTGTTGGTATTATTCTTAGTTTTCTACACTAATGGAAATTTATTTTAGATATAGAAATTTGTGGAATTATATCCACATTTTGCTGCTTATTTTTCACCTCCATTTTAGATGTTTCTTAAATTGTATTTTGTGCTCATAAACTTTCAGGGCTCTATTGGTGGTCTTCCTGGCAATGTTGATGGCATGCATTCTGGACCGGTGGTTTCTTCTGCACCTATGTCACAAATGGTATGTAGAATAATTAGCTTTTTTAGCTGGATGGGGAATTGTATTTGTTGTTTCTTTAAAACTAATATATATTTCTTGGTGAATTTAAATCCAGGGTTTGAACCAGTCTCGGCCTCAAGTTCCATCTGTTGGCCCTCAAGTATCAGCGATACAGGGACAACCTAAATCAGGACAACACTTGCCATCTTCCTTGCAACAACAACCTTTGAATGCAGCATCTTTCTCCACAACACAAAGTTTGCATGGATCACACGCGCAATTGGGTCAAATGCATATGCCGTACTCTGTTGGTCTTACTCCTTACAGTCAGGCTCCACAAACACAAAGGCTGCCTGGTTTGAGTGGGCAGTTAACTGTTCCTAAGCCACAGATGCAACATAATGCACCATCTGCCCCAGGACAAGGACCTGTGCTGGAAAATTTACAGCAAATACCACCTGCTCCGCAGTTTCAACCTCTTCCTCAATCCCCATCACAGTTAGCTCAGATGCTGTCACAGCAAAAACAAACTCTGCAGGCCAGCTTTCAGTCATCACAGCAAGCCTTTTCTCAGCTTCAACAGCAGCTGCAGATGCTGCAACCATCGAATAAAAGTATGGCAGTACAGAAGAGTCCAGAGGTTGCTAAACAGCAGGTATCAGTTGTTTAAATGTGATAATACCACTTGTCTTCTTTTTTGGGGGAAATCTCTAGGTATTTTCCTCTGAAAAGGAATATTTTAACAGTCTTCTCTGAAAACAAAGTTGAATGTGGTAGTTTCTCCATATATGGGCATATGCCTCATTATATGGTAATATATTGGCCGAAAGGAAATTGAGTCCGGCACATGAAATCCAGTCTAATTCGTTGTTTGATTCGGAGTAACACAATAAATACATAGTCCCTGTTTGTTAGCACAATTTGATGATGCCAGAAATCTGATATTTTTGTATTAAAATTTATCTAATTCATTATTTTTAAGGTATTGTGATACTCGATGAATTATGTAAAATATCGGTGTAATCTTTACTTACTGCTTGCATTATTTTGCTACCGCTGTATTTTGCTAAGTGCATGTCATGGTAATATTTCTTTTTGTTCCTCTATAGTCTCCTTGGGTTGGAGTTGCATCACAGACGGTTAACAGCAATGCTGGTGTCCGATCAGGAGATGTAGCTCCTCATACATCTGCTTCACCTTCTGTTGCGGCTCCTGTTAAATGTAACTGGACAGAGCATACTTCTCCTGATGGATACAAATATTATTACAACAGTACAACTGGTGAAAGCAAGGTAAAAGTCTTCTCATGTTTCTGCAGTTTGTTAGCTAGGACATGGCCTCTCATAATTATTGACTTTGGCAGTGGGAAAAACCCGAAGAGCTAGCACTCAACGAGCAGCAACAGCAACAAAAGCCGTCTATCCAACAGCACGAAGTGCAATCTCAGCCACAAGGACTGTCTGTACAGCCAGGTTCTCAGACCCAAATAAACCTTCAAGTTCAACATCAGGCACAGTTCCAAAATCATTTCCGGCCTTTGCAACAAACTTCTCAATCATCTTCAGTCAGTATTTGTTGCATTCTTAATTCTTCTGTTTTAGAACCTTCTTACAATGCTTTTCTTATTTTGTGTCTTTATGATATTCCAGTATCAGGTTCCTGGACTTCCTAATCGCCAAAACTCTCAGGTAATTGGGTATGAAATAATTTAATCTTTATTAGCATCATTTATATGTCTTAAGTAATATGTTTTGGAACCTTTTGTGTTTCTTTCCTTCTTCCAAAAGCTGTCTACTTCTAGGTTCACCGAGTCATAGATGGGGGTTTGGTTTTATCACCTACCCTGTATGTATACATTGAAAGTTGAATTACAAAAGGGAGGGGGGACATTCCACCTTACCTCCGGAATTACAAATGTGGAGAAAGGATGTGAATTTGGACAAACATAACGTTGGGAGGTATTTCCATTTCAAAGCATATGAGAAAGTCTTACAAATGAATTTAATAAATTATTAATTAATCTAACATTAGGTAGTTGAATTTTTACATTTTGATATAATGGGATCTCCAATGGTAGCATTGATCCTTGGGAGCTGCAATTGAAAGCTATTTTCCCCTTATGATTATAAATTGTTCTCTCTCTCTCTCTCTATCATCCCTTGGTTTCCCATGATATTTTTCTAAATTTTACACTAATCTCCTGAACTTAGATCCACAACAAACTAGCTCTCCCATTAAATCTGGGTTTGACTACATAAATATTTTGTTATACGATTTCATTCGCTTCATCACTACATTGTCCTCAACTTTTGATCAATGAATGAAAAATAGATATGCTGTATTTAAAAGTCCCCATTTATACTAGTGGTATGCATGCCGAGGACAATAAATAGGTTGTGCTCATTCCATATTTCAGTGTATATGTACCGTTGAGATTTTTTATTTTTATTCTTTTCTGGACTATTTGGAATAATCAGGAACTTGGCTACCAACAGCCCTCTGCAGCCATTGGTTCTGTGAATGACGCAACCCGTTATCAGCAGGTTGGAGTTAATAAATTTACATAATCAATTATTTATTTTAAGTTCTTTTTTATTTCATTTGTAATTTTTATTTATTTGTTTATTTATTTATTTTTAATTTTGTGGTAGGGGTTCCAGTCTTCTCAAGAATGGATGTGGAAAAAATAAGCCCGGAGGTATTTTTCAGGAACAGAAACACATGTTGCCTGTTTCTTATCTTTATGTTGAAATGTCTGCGTTGGTTACTTGACATCAATGAAAACAAAATATTCTTATATTTTTAACCGTCTATTGATGTCTTCTTCCTTATTTTTTTGGTTTTGTTTTGCCTGAAAAAGATGTCATCCAAGAATCTATTTATCCTCGTGGCTTGATCTCTGTCACAATCTCAATCCTTGGATTAAAATTAGTTAATTTTAATTTACCCTGCACACCTTAAGTAAAGCGTTTTATGGTTCTAATAACAGCAATTTCGGTCAATCAGTATGACAACTTTTGTGGTCCCGTGTTATCCTCAGGAGCCTGATCCAGATGATCAAATAGTTTGAGCACATAAGATTGAACTGCAAGGCAGTAATTCTGTTCGGGCATGGGAGGAGCCTAGCATGGAAGAGTATATCCTCTAATCCTGAAATGTTCGGAATTTTGTTTTGAGTTGTCTTCTCATTGTTGAGAAGTATGTGTGCGTGGCTGCTACCCCGTGAGTCACTTATGACCATATACATGTTTACTTAAATGCTTTAGAGTTATATTATGACGTTTTCCTTGAGATTGTGATTAATGTGCGAGGTAGAAATATTTTTTAAGGATGTTTAGAAGTGTTAATCTTGCTAGTCTCTGATGGTTTGCATCAATTTGCATTTTGTGGTTATTTTTCGTTCTGTACGAGTTGCTGCATATGCTTTGGTGTGTAAACAGGTAGTTTCTGTCCAAAGATGTTAAATTTTCTTTTCATAATTGGGAGTTAGAATTTAGGAGGCATGTCTAGTGAACAAGCCAGTCTTCTTTTGCTAGAATCAGATTAATTGACAACCCTACAGTTTCTATGAATTTCTCCGCCACTAGATACAGATACCAAGCTTCCCATTTTCAGCATCGAGTTTTTGAAATCCTCGTAGAATGCAGATGGATCGTCCACATAAGTCTGGATGATTTCACGTGTCCTGTCATTGCCAGTGGCTAGCCCCTGGTCGGACGCAAGTAAACCCTCACCCGAAAGAATATTGATGTAGTACTGATTATCAAACATTGATGGGGTCATGTGATCAAGATCTGCAAGTGTTGTGTTGGAATTAGATTGCGAGCATAGTTGCTGGAGGGACTGTAAGAACTCCAAATTAATGTCTGGTGAGTTCGGGTCATTGTTGCCGTTTATTCGAGAGCTAAAAGTCGAGCATCGAGCTTTTCCCATTGTGTGTGCACCTGGTCATGCAACGAGAGAAGTGATCTTTACTCGTTAACTGTACGGATTGTAGTTTGAACTTGAATCAAATGGGAAAGTAAGTGATTTTAAATCAAGAAATGGGGTGAATTACCAGAGAGCGCGACCATATCTTCGAGTGAGAGCCCGACATTTTGGAACTTGGATACTAATGTGGGCACATCAGAATTTGGGCCTGGGATATTGTTATTGGCTGCTGTTTTGCTAGCACTTAAACTATCTTTCCTGCCCAGTTGTACCTCCCAGCCAGGACCACCTGACTGAAAATTGAAGCCAATTTCAAATTAAGTTAAAGATATCAAATTCGGCTGAAATGTAATTACACGCAAATTTCCTTTAGACCATTCAGTGTAATGTGCAGCACGAAGAGGTGTGTGAAAATGTGTCAATCTACTTAAACTTGAGTGACTCTCGATCCAATTGAAAACCATGTAGATCAGCGCTAAAACATGGGCCGACCTTGTCATGGATGGGCCATTCAAGATTGAAGTATAGTAAGGCGCGTTGATTCGGTAAAGGGTGCCTGGCCTCGTAATCGATCTAATTTACAGCTCTAAGCATGCTTGACATTGACATGCTCGGTGGTGTTTTAGGGCATGACAATGAACAGTTTTGCTGTTTTACCAGGTGCCTACCCTCTCAGCAGGTGGGTCCCCATGCAGGACCCACTTGTATAAAAAATTACCCAAAAATCCACCCACCCTTCAATGATGAGTGGTCGGTCGGTTGTACGTCAAGCTTCGTCCGACAGTGAAACGTTGAGGGGAATTGCGCACCTACTAGTTTAATCTAATATTTATAGCGTACAACACAATAAATAGGAGGATATGTACCAAAACAACAGAATCTCTAGCAGCAACAGCAAGAATGTCGGCACAAGACACAATCTGTGGACAGGCATATTCAAGATCAGCTTTTATTGCATCAATCACTTCAAATCCCCTCAGTGAGTTCAAGTTTGGTGCTGCAGTTTTTTCTCCAACAAAATTTGCTGTGTCATCCAATAACACTGAAGCATCACATCCCTAGAAATATATATATCGCACATTAATCATAATCAGGACTTCCATATTTGTACTATATTCATTATATAATTGATAAGGTAAACTAGACAATATTGCAACACAACATGTTGAGATAGATAGACGACTTGCATTAACAAAGCAATCATGGAAATGGAGTCGCAGCAAAGAAGCAGCCATTCTTGGGTCATCAGAAACCGCTTTTTCGACCCAAGAAAAGATGATAGGTTCTGCCTCTGGACAACTGTTTTGGTATAAACCAAAGCTTAATACAATAGTTACACCATCGATGCATGACTCATTCTTAAGGACACTTGCAAATGCTATATAAATTTTCAGCCAAATCATGCAGACTGCTAAGTAAATCGCCATTACTTTAAACAATATTTGAAGGGAAATCTTGAAGATGAAAGTGATTGTTAAAACTAGCTGTTTATATAGATGTTGGAATTATTCTGAGAGTGAGCATAAGAAAAATTTGTTGAAAAAAAGACACAGTCAAGCTAAGAAATGGTCAGTTTGTATGTGGATGATGACATGAGTCTAACTGTGCACCTAATGTCCATGTGCTTCTGATACAAAGATCTTGAGATGTTTTTATCTAACCGTGCACCTAATGCCCACTCTCTGCAATTCTATTCACATTCTTCCCTATCTCTCCCTCCTTAAACACATAAAAACTGAACTACTCATCACTATAAACTATTTTCAGTGATTAATATTGGTACATTCCCAAACCAAGAGTTGTTAAGAAAGGAAAAGTAACATAACAAAAATTGCAATAAAAATCAATTTTCAAATATGTTACCAAGAAAGTGATGCATTGATTGAATTGCTGTAACTATTATTATTAACTGACTGTATTGTTTGAAACACCAAAACGCAAGTTATACATTGAACTTTCATTTACAGTAACAAACGGGAAGAAAAAAATGAAATAATCAAAATTGAGGTTTATTGCAATAATAGGGCCATAACAAAAGTTACACTCAATTTGACTCTTTGTTGGGGTTGTTGAACTTGAATGGTTTTTGTTGCTTCTATGCCTGTTTGAATGTTCTATTAGGAAGATGTGAAGTTAGGCATGAAAGCTATATTATTCTTTTGTTTGTGATGTGATGCTTTACACCAATCGCATTTCTGATGTTTTTTTCACAATTTTTTTTTCTTTACAAGTTTAATTGTGCTCCATAACTCAAAATATTTGCATCTGCCGCTAATTGAAATTCCTTCGAGGGACCAAAAAATCGTAACCCAAGATCACAAACCAATTCTCAGTCACTGAATCACAGACACACACTAATTACTCAAGAAGATTTCCAACCAAAGGTTGAAGATAAAGCAAAGAAGACGAACAGAAACAAAGAAAAAACCCTAGCTTCTTAAAGAATCAAACATTTGGAATGAGAGAAGACACCCTAAAGGTTTATACTTATGCGCCCAACCATAATCATTCATCTTAGATTAACGGTCTAGAGCAACTAACAACTCATCAATTACCAAAACAAAGTTGCATTTTTGACACACGATTTTGGCCTTTTATATTGGTTTTGAGTTTTGGGCCAATCAGAAATTATGAGGCAATAGAAAAACTCACTGGACCAACAAAGGCCCATTTATCATCATAACCCGGGAATTGAATTGGACTGGACAAGTTTGGCATCACAGCCCAACAAGCATCATTTGCACTGGAAAATTGATTAACCAGAAGGGTATATATTTATTTTTTGCAGTTATTGATTCTTTTCTACACAAACAGAGAATAACATAGATTAATTATTGTTGAAAATACGTATTCAAACCCACTTGGGCTCTGGAACATGTTCGTTGACTTGGGAATTCTACACAAGTAGCACTACATATGCTGGGGTAATCAACTATTTGTGATACCCTTTTGATAATGGAGAGTATATAATGTAAATACTTCATGCATGTTAGTCATACTTATACTATTGCTCGTCGTTCACGGTGTATAGTCTTTTTCTAGTTCGTGATCATTTTCATGGACTCCCTACTCGAAGGAGTTTATGTAAGTTTATTAGGTTGACTTGCGCTAGAGGTCCCAAACTACCATGCGGTTGAAAGCATTTCAATTTTGCAGCCAAAATCCCAAACCTTTAAACTAATATGCAGGACACGGTCCCTTGAACAATCTCATCCAAAAAACCGTTCAGCTTTTGATCTTTTCTTATTTTATTGCACGGGATTAGTTAACCCAAAAGTCACTCGACCAAAATATGACCAATTTAACGTAGGGCAATATGGTTCTTCGCATATTATCGCAACTAAAATGGTTGCAAAAGAGAAATAAAAAATAATAATAATAATAAGAAAAGAATTTTAAAATGAAAAAAAAATGGTTTAGTCTCTACCTATTCCACCCAAAACCACCAGAGCTACTACCTCTGTGGCCACCATAATCACCTTACCATACCTAATCCCACCACACTATTACCATCACCAACACCTCCATGTTACCAGCTAAATCATCGATTTCTCAACTGCAACTCGAGGGAGAAGATACCCTCTGGTTTCGCAAAACCACCTCAATGGTGGTTTGTCGTAGCCTTCAAAAGTAAGGTTCTATGTCTCCAACACACACACATATATATAAATTAGTAATCTGAATCCCACTTAATCGAAATCGTCTATGCATATGTTAAAATTGCACTATAATTATACGTAACTTACAGTTGAAGGATCAAATCTTCATATCATTAAACATTTCCCAATTCAATAAAAAAGTCTCTTGCGATTTTAATATCCACAATGATGGCTTCAATCAAGTGGAGACCATATTTTAATATTTTTAAACAAGAATCTCACTTTTGAAGGTTGTGATTCATAATCACACCAAGTAAAAGGTTATGTAACTCAATTTTTTCATTTAGTAGTTCTTTTTGCTCCTTGGCGCGAGACAAATTTCTATGAGAAAACCCTGCAAAATAGTGCAATAATCCTCACAAAATTTTAACTACTTGTTATCATAATTACACAAAATATTGACCCATAATATAAATTGAAAACAAGCCTTAATCCGGCAATTTATTTATAAATTATTATTCATGCAAGAGCCATGGCATCTGAGACCTGTGAAGGAAATTCTGTATGTTCCCCACAAGTATGTATTTATCCCCGTATTTTGGCTTTAGAGTAGAACAATTATTGAAGAAAATACCACAAACCTTTATATTCATTAGTTGAGTATCTTTTTTTCTTTTTTCTTTTTTGTGTAAGTCACAATGGAGGCATCAACTTTTGACTAAATGGTACAAAAAAGACATTACTTTATTCCTAATATTTCTCCACATGTATTGATGTCATTGATCATTTATGGAAAAGAGCAAAACGGAAAGAAAATCGACTCGAAAATGCGATATTTTTCAGACTAAAATAACATAAAAAAATTTCATTTCCAGCTATGATGAATATTTTCTTTGCTGGAAAACAATGCTCAAAATTATTCACTTCCTTTACAGTTAGAAAAAAAATCTGTTCATTCTGATTCCTTTTTAATGGATGGCACCTCAAATATTTCCCACACTTGTATTTTTGAAATTTTAAATCGATCTCTTTACCTATTCACGAATCCAAAACTCAGGTCTTAGATAACATGATCACCAGACATAAACTTGTCCTTTGTATCAAACTCGAGCATAGACTAGTACTACCCTCGAAATGATATAAAGGCAAAATTAAGAAGCTAATAATTAATTTTTTGTGTCAACCAAGCAATAGTATTACTTGTCACATGTTAGTTTCCTGACCATAGAAGTAACATTCACAAAGGGTAAAATAAAAAACCTAACTTTGTTAGCTTGGTCCCCAATTACAAAGGTAGACAATGCACGGGCTATTAATTTACAACATAAAGAACAATAATTATGTTAAAATCAATCATTTTTTTGATGAATTCTAAAAAAAAAACCAAAAAAACTTCCCCCCCTTTTTTTTTTTTTTTTTT